AAAAAAAAAAAAACTTAGGGGGTGATTGTTTATAAATTGAATAGTAAAAAAATCAATTAAAACTCAAATTTAACTCAACTTTAACTCAACCCCACTATCTTCAATATTATCAATATAATTAAATAAGGGCAAATTGCGCCAAACCCCCCTATATTATACGAAATCTGCGCCTTATCCCCCTGTATTTTAAAAAATGCGTCATACCCCCTTGTATTATACTTTTGATTGTGCGTTATCCCCTAAACTCGTATAATACAAGGGGGTATGACGCATTTTTAGGGGATAACGCGCAATCAAAAGTATAATACAAGGGGGTATGACGCATTTTTTAAAATACAGGGGGATAAGGCACATATTTCGTATAATACAGGGGGGTTTGGCGCAATTTACCTAATTAAATAATATCAACCAATCATTATTACACATCACATCAACTTTAATTCACTATTCATCTACTCACATAACTCTAACTACCTATCACTTCCAATCATTTTTCCCTACTTTACATCAAATCAACTTTAATTATTTTATTTAAATATTATTTTAGTATATCCACTAACAACTTACCATACCACTTTTTATCAAAATTAACAACTTACATCACGAACAGTCCGGGTTGCGGCTTGTGCGCGGAGGCTTACGAATCCACTCTCCATGCTTTGCGGGATTGCCCGGTCACGGCGTCAACATGGAAGCAACTTCTACCACAAAGTCATTGGCCGACTTTTTTCTCGCTTGGCCTGCGTGACTGGCTGCTGCTCAACCTCCACGGTGAGCTCAGTCGATCGTCCGAGGACTGACCGTCGATCTTCGGGGTCACGGCGTGGCGTGCGTGGCGATGGCGAAATTTACAGTTGTTCCAGGATGAGGAAACAACGGGACCTCAGCGGCTTCGGGAGGTGGAGTCGCTCGTCCGCATGAATAGCCGTGTTGTGGCTAGCACTAAGTTGAGTACTCAAACCTCCCGCGAGCTTCGTTGGATTGCGTGGACTCCGCCGGGGGAGAATGAGGTGAAAATTAATACCGATGGGAGTTTTGACCCCTCAACTGGTATGGATAGTGCCGGTGGGGTGCTGCGAGATAGTCATGGTCGTTGGCTTCATGGTTTCTTAATGAACGTGGGGTTTTGCTCGATAATAGGCGCGGAACTTTGGGGATTGTTTCAGGGCCTCTCGCTGGCCTGGGATTTGGGCTATCGCCGACTAATAGCTGAAGTAGACAATCTGAGCATTATAGGAATGGTTCAAACGGATTCCCAGTTAGGACCTCACGGTGGGCTTTGTCGAGGAATAAAGGAGCTTTTGAGCCGAGATTGGGTGGTTACTCTTCAGCACAAGTTTCGGGAAGCGAATAGCGTAGCGGAATTTTTGGCATCACTGACAGCTAAGGGGCCGAATGGACTGTTTAAGCTTGACCATCCTCCCCCGGGAGCGAGTGCGTGGTTGAACCACGACCGTTTGGGTGTCTCTACACCTAGATCGATTATTATTTAGGCGTGTAGCCTCCTTCTTTGCACCAAAAAAAAAAAAAAAACAATCAAATAAAAACTAATTCAATCCATAAACAATCACACCCTTAGTATTTACACAGAAAAAAAATGAAAATTCAATTCCAAATCAAGCAAATTTAATCCAGTCTCAACCAATATTTTGCATAATTAAAAAAAAAAAAGAAGAAGAAGTCACGTGATATCACGTGCACACCACACCCTTATGCGGGACTTTTGTCACCTGGCTTATCAAATAGCGATTGACACTCAGGTGAACAACGAGGTCGGTTACATCAATTTTGCAGAAGAATAAATGAAGTAAAAATTCGAGCTTTTTGAACCCGTGGCATTCGGTAGTGTGCGTGCTTAATTTATGCTTTCTGGGTTTTGTTTTTTGTTTCCATGTATTAATTAATACTAAGTATCTTTATTGTTTTCGGATCGCATTAATATTCAGATACGATGATTGGGAGCATCTGCGTTTTTTTTTTTTTTTTTTTTT